CTCTGATTCAATCAAAATTTCAAAACTTTTTGCTAAAGGATTGAGTAGGTTAAATATTGACCTATATTCAGGTAAACTTAAAACATAACAGCACTTTTGTACTACAAGCTATTGCCTAATTTGCATATCATTCTATTTTTTTCTTTTTGTAAATTTCTCTTGAACTGTTTTTCAATATGTAATGAGTGGAGCTTGATGGCATGTCAGTACTGGAAAACCCTAGTGATTTTACTTAAATGAAAATTATGACGTCCATTTCTAATCTAAGCTAATTGTTATTAGAAATATAATTTGGTTATAAAAGTTCTTCATGGCTTCACACAGTGAAGTGACTTTGAGATTATAATATCATCAATATTGTTAGGAGTCATTTATTGAGAATCATGCTCTCATGGGGTTGTTCTTTCTACAGTGTAATTATGGTCACTTCCTTGACCTCGCTCCTTTCCTCCCTCCCAAAACAGTAATTAAAACTCTTTCTTTCTCTGACGCTGAATGTAATAACTATTTAAATCAATGGTATGATGATGTCAGTATTCTAAACAGCATTCTTTCATGTTTGCTTTACAAAGGGAAGCTGGTTTGCCTAAATATATCTTTATTGAAGTATTTGGAGTGCTGGTAACTCTTGAGCTGGCAGTCTTCTGGTACTCTGTCAGCTACTCCAAGTAGCCAGTTTAGCACCTCTTTACCTAAGAGCTGTTCAAGACACCTTCACCCTCCCAACAAAAAAAGACTGCCAGTGTGCCAGTGAGTTCAAGTGTTTTTTGAGATTTTTTTGTTTGGTTTTTTACTGTTTGCTAAGAGCTCAGTAAAAATAAGATTTTCTTGCTATGTATTGAGGGGAAGTTGGGTGAGCATATCCTCAAAACTCTTCCTTTGCCAGTCTGTTTGTTTATAATATGGAATATATTTCTGTGAAGTACAAGAATGTGCGTAATTCATATCCAAGGCACTCCTCGCCTGGCATCAGAATCCCTGGAAAGGTAGATTGCTAGTGAGCATGACGTCAGATAAAAGTAAAACTGAGAGATTTGAAGTCTGGTGAGTTTTTCTGACCACAGATTAGATCACATCACTCCTGCTGGCTGCATGTCTGTGTGCCTGAATCAGTGCTTCTCTCCTGGATGGTGCTGAGGGGCCCAGCACACCCTGCTCGCTGGGCATCCCTGTCCTTCATTCGCTTCAGACAGCCTTTATGTAATCTGTCCCCAGACACATATAGTACAATAGCATTGGTTCTGTTTCATTCTAGTCCTGCCTTTTTGAGATTATACCAAGGTTACCTTGATTAAGGTTTGGGTGTGAAATGGTTAATCACACCATAATTTTGGATTTACAAGCTTGATTCTCAAGGGACAATCTCATTTCCCTCATTTACAAGTTCTTGAGGGGCATCTCACTATTGTCTCTATGAAACATCTGTCAGTTCATAAAGATTCCTTGTGTTGGCAGACTTTAGGTCATACACAGAGGGTAGCATATAGAGTTGGATATTATACAGAATTATGTTCACTTAGTACCAAAAGGAAAGTTCCAATAGTTACAGATCATAAAAGCAGGGAAAAAAGAACTGAAACAAATATAATTGATATATGCCTAAGAGTATTTTATTTGTAGTTCTGGTTTTGTCAAAATCACATGGTTTATTACTATTAGATTTGCTATTCCAGATTGTGTATGTGTGTATTGCATTTTCAGGAAGTTTCAGCTGATCCTACTGCCACACTCACAGCAGCAGAAGAAAGAAAGGAGAAGGTACCGAGCCCACACCTCAGTCACCTGGTGGTTTTGACATCTGGCGATACGTTGTATGGGTTAGCGGAAAGAGTGGTAGCCACGGAATCCTTGTAAGTTGTTAAATACAGTTGCTTTGCCATTAAATATGTAAGAAAAGTTATAAAAGTAAGTATTGTATAATAAGACTTCTAGCTGCATACATCTACCGCTTCTAAATATCCCTTATATATTTCTGAGAAGTATATCCTAACATAAATTACCAATCAGTTTTTAAAACTACATGGTTGGTTTCAGTTCCAGAAATGCAAGGAAGGAAGGAGATCTTTTTAAGTTTTGCTTTTTAGTAACGTGATCCTTGCTTTAAGTAAAACTGTAAAAAGCATGTTATACTTTATATTTTCCTATTGATGACTTATGATCCTAGAGAAACTGTAGTTGCATTGTCAGTTAAATATAGTTGACCCTTGACATCAGCAAGAACGCTTCCTGACCTTTATAAATCCTTACACTTGTTAATAAAATTAAAGTATATAACTTCTGCCATCAAACGAAGTCCAAGATAACTTAAGAGCCTTTGCACACATGACAAAAAAGACAAAAACAGCACCCAGGTGCAGCGCCTCTGCAGGCTGTAGTCCAGGCTCGGTCACCAGCCAAAGGACTCCCACTCCTGTACACCAGCCTCCTGCACCTGTAGTTCATTTGTATGCCTCAGCCAAGGTACAGTTTGCATCATGTTATGAATGTTTGGGTTACTTCTGAAAAGTGTCACATATTGAATCTGTGAATTTAAGAGTCTTTTATATTAATTGAATGGGATTTTTAAAAGAAATCCTTTAAAAAAAAATACTGTTGCATTCTTTTTTCAATCTGTGGTGTTATCTGTGCTCATATCTTACATGCAAAGCAGCGGAACTCTACATCTTTGGTAACCCGATAGCTCCTTTGAAGTTACTCTTCTTTCACTTTAACTTCCATTCAGTGATAAGCTCAGCACTAATTATGATGTAGCTTGTAAGTGAACGTGTCCAAATGGTAGTACAAGATAGTTCACTAAAGTGGAAAATAATTTTAATTGTTAAAGTTGTACTCAGAGATCTTAAAAGATTACTTAGAAAAAACATTGACAGACTCTAAATTCGGGACAGTTTGTTTACACAGTGGGTTATTTATTCTCTTTAGGGTATTCTTGGCTGAACAATTTGAGTTCCTTCAGCCACATCTGGATGCTGTGATGCCTGCAGTTAAAAAGC